AGCCAGATGATCGTCCACTTTCTGCATTTTAAACGTCTGCAGATTAATGGGCGGGTTGCAGGAAAAATTCATCTACATTTTACATCTACAGAGTTTCCTGAGTTTGCAGCTGTGTGAAGAGTTAGATCCGAGGGAGGCTGAAAAAAGGACACTGGGGAAAAAAAACAACTTACATTTACAAAAAAAAGAATCACGCCCCTCTGCACAGAGTTGATGTAACACCAGTGTAAAACAGTAGCATGGGCCACAACATACCCTGCAGGAATAATAAAGAGAGGAAGAATAAGCTGAAGTCCGGTACACAGGGGTGACTCTAACCATTAACAAGACAGTAGGTGTGACCTGTATGTCAGGAGGCAAAGGACGTGACGGCTGATATGAATCATCCTGTGTGTAACAATCAAACGGCTCATTGGCTGTCGGTGAGTCGCCAATACCATCAACTGCACCAGTTGTCATTCTGGAGTGTCAAGTGTTTCCCTCATAACGTTTCTCTTTTCTCATTACAAGATTTTCTGGAGCAGATTTTGCACGATGTGCTACCACCTGAGCTGATGTGCTTGAAGTTCTGCCAATACGTAGTCCGAGGCAGAGCTCTTCGCCCTTAGCACGGCGCGAGGAAAACTCATGCAGGAGTGCTCGTCAGCACGCTGAGGATGAGGAGACTGATGTCTTGTCCGTATGCTCCCAGACTGCAGCGTGATTTGCTGCTAAAAGCATCTTTCATGCAGAGCTGAAGGCGTTTTGTGCTCATGAGAACTGCAGAGTTTCCTAAGCGCCTCATTGACGGAGACTCCTGCATCCTCTCCGATAACCACAGGTATCCCAGCTGTTGAAATCAATGTAACGAGACCCAGAGCAAAGAGAAAAGAGGTGAGGAGCCAAATCACTGAGGAAATGACAGCGCCATTTTATCTTTCACCTTTCACCAATTAAATAGAACACTCATCTCCAAAGTCACACACAGGTCTCTCCTTTGTGATTAATTACGGCTTGCGTTTGGAAGTTGAAAAGCCAGAAAATAGAATTAGCCCCCGATTTGGCATATAGCAGTCAGCTCTTCTCCTCTTCCTGTCACCCACAGAGAGAGAATTAGTGAAGCTAATGACACTAAGCTACAGTCAGGGGGTTTTATGAAATCCTTGTGAGGACGAAAATGTCTGTCAAGAGACTAAACTGATGAATGATTCAGTCTTTTTAAGTGATGAGCTGCCACATCAGTGTTAATCACCAGCAGAGCTGCAACTGACATTTATTTCATTGTAAATCCAGTGTACAATTCTTTCTTGACAATTCTTTTCATCGAGATTGTCAGGAAATGTCTTGATGAAGTTTTCCAGTGTCTTGTTTTGTCAAACAGTTAGACGGAACTTTTCATATTTGAAAGATTTAAAACTGTTAATTTTGGCCATTTTTGCTTTGACTTCAAAAATCATATGATCATCGTAACAGCTGTTGATCGACTATCAGCTGAGAACAGATGTACAGCGAACAGTGACATCATTGTTGGACTATAAGTACTGACAAAAAAAGTCCTAGTACTGCAATGAAATTAGATATGGTATCATGTACACCAAAATGTAAATACTTCAAATGATCATTACTAACATGGAATACACTATTGTGATGGAAATAAAGATGTACCACTATGAGAATGTAATAAATGGGTTGGGTGAATGATTCAAAATGATTATAAGATACTGCAGTAATATATTTTTTAGTTATCACATAGTAAAAACTGCTTAAGATGAAGACAAGTCTTTCCGTCCTGTCACACCATCAGCTCATAAACAAGATTTACTGCATGCAGTTAAAAGTAGTGAGGCTTTCAGGGACAGAGTAAAACTCAATACATGATACTTCAATTCATTTTAATAATAATTTTCTTGACTGAGAAAAAGATGCAGTTTGACAACTTATTTTCTATCACCTAACTACCGCAAGAAGACATAATAACATATAACGGTATTAATCACGTACTTACCTATGCATCAGGTATTTAAATCTTAAGTCAGACCTTCTTCTTCCATTTACACTGGAAGATGCCCCACAAGCATTCCATTGGTGCATGCTCTAATCCAAAGTATAACCACATATTGTGACCTGTAATGAAATAAAGCCATTAAACCATTTGTATGCATGTGTGTGTTTGTCTATATTTCTTGTGTAATGGCAGATGTACTGTTGTGTACCATGTCAGTAAGTGAACCACATCACGCTCCACCGGGCTTGATCCAGTCTAATGATCCACCATAGAGCCGCCCGAGCAGCCGCACCACGCGTTATTATCCAGCTAATTGTGTTTAGAATTCAATACTCGAGATTCATTTCCTGCGGGCCACTGTTTGCCAGCTGAGATTTGAAATGAAATGATCTGTATCAAACCCGCAGCATGGCGGCTGCATATCGACAGAATGGGGGATTTCTTTAATCAGATTCTAGAGTGCACTGATAGACCTCGCTGAGGATTCAGATGAAATTATTTCTAAGCTCTAGTGGACGTGAAATGAAATAATCTGCAGTGGTAACGTGCAGATCTAACAAGGCCTCTGTAACACGTGCTGTCTCCTCACCTGTGTGTCTCCTCTGCTCAGCGTGGGACGAACCTTCACGGAGATTAGAGGTAAGACTTGTATGTTATTGAGATCGCTCCCTGCAGATGCATAATTACTGGAAATGAGGTCTGACTGCACCGAGGTCACAAACACATGTACAGGAACACACACACAATCACATGCACACAGACTGGAGCTGAAACTTGATTCATTTCATCAAAGTCGGACCATGTGGGTTTTTGGGGACCGATGTCGATTTTAGGGAGTATTATTAACAACCGATGAATCTGTCAGCCTCAAATTTTGATTATTCATAAATTGAGTGTGTTTGTTTTGACTGACCGACCGATTGATACTGAGTTTTTTTTTACATTTGTGATTTTGTAGACTTCGCTGAGGATTCAGATGAAATGAGACACACAGGTGAGGAGACAGCACGTGTTACAGAGGCCTTGTTAGATCTGCACGTTACCACTGCAGATTATTTCATTTCACGTCCACTAGAGCTTAGAAATAATTTTATCTGAATCCTCAGCGAAGTCTACAAAATCACAAATGTAAAAAAAACTCAGTATCAATCGGTCGGTCAGTCAAAACAAACACACTCAATTTATGAATAATCAAAATTTGAGGCTGACAGATTCATCGGTTGTGTATAATGAAAACTTTTAATTTCATCTGATTTTAAGAAACGTCTCGACAACAGAAATTCATTATATAAAAAAATCTGTTATTCCATTAACATTTTATTGGCTTCGTTATCAGCTCAAAGTTTTTGATTTGTCCAGCACATAAAATTAACTGAAAACCCATTTATTCACAATGGTCTTTGTCTCATCTTGTGTATTGTGATGTTTGAAACTCAAATTGTCTTTTATTGCATATATTTATGTTTCTTACTGTTTTATTGTGTTAGTTAATTAATATACAAAAAAATCTGAAGTATTACTTTACTACTTTAGTTTATGACATTCACATCAGCTTCAGCTATACACTCGAATAATCTCTTCAGCTCCAAGAGCTCAAACCAAAACACACGTACGTACAAGATACGATTTAAGCAGGAAGCAAGCTGAGCAGGTAAAAAAACAAAAAAACCCAAAGACCAGATGAGATCAATGCAGCGGGAAGAAAAAGATATTAAATCGATGAATGACTCCTTCACTTTGATCCTTAGGCTCATACAAACCTGAGACACTTCATTAAAGAGGACTGACTGATGTGGATCTTGGGCGAGAGAATCACATCACTGCTGTTATGCGACGCTCGGACTCTGAGCTCAGTCTCTGGAGGCTCGAAAATAAACACGCAAGCAAAAGCCGAGCCAGGGGATATGAGACTGGAGGCCTCTCAAAAGATTATATCACATCAGAGGAGGCAGTTCTCCTCCCATCTGCTCGGGCCTGTCTGTTTATAATGCGTGTGTCCTTGTTCCAGTGTGAGAACAAAAGGGAGCTTTTCTGGCCTCGTTCGACTGGGACAAGTAAAAGAAATAGAATTGCGGCTCATTTGCATATGTATCCCTTCTACTCTTGCTCTCCTGACTGCAAACCCACACACCTGCTTTATCCAGAAATGCCTCCTCCAGACAGCATGAGCGTGTTTATCTGTGTTCATCTGTCATTTGTCATTGAGCCAACACATTCAAGCCGTTTTTCTTTCTGGATGAGACGCGGGCCGCATCTTACAATTGTGCACGAGAAGAGATAAACAATGAAGGCGATAAATAGGAAAGTGGAGTACATTTTCCCTGATGGCTGCTTCGCCACCATTTTCATCATCTTTATTTCTGATCTTATGTTGTCTGCGAGAAGCGCAACTCGTAATAAGAGAATTAGACTCGTATTGTTAGTGGAAAGAAAAATACCAATCGCTGCTCTTGGAGGGGGATAAAAGGAGATTGGGGATGGCAATAAGTGCACTAAGAATAGAGAAGGGCATTACTATGGATGACATGAAGACAGTGTGTGTGAAAGGGAATCACTAATTATAACGATGAAGAGGACAGAGTTACTTAGTTAGATCTGGTTTATGCTCGTCTCAGCAGGATTAAACAAAAACTACTAAATCAATTTTCTTCAAACTTCAAATCAAGGAGGAACACCTTGACTTTAACATTGGGAGATACAATGTTTTTTTTTTAATTTGGTGAACTACATTAACTGAAAACAACAGCTACTTACTTGTACATACAAACACATGATTATGCATGAATAAAGAATTAAAAGCAAAAGAAAGAGAGAAGGAGACACAGACAGAGGGAATGGGCAGAAACAAGCTGTTTGAGGCTGGGACGACCTGCTGGGATCTGGTGTAGCTTGTTAATGTACAGTACCATCCNCCCCCCTCTCTCTCTCTGTCTCTCTCTCTCTCTCTGTCTCTCTCTCGGGGGGGTCATTCAGTTTGGTGCTCACTCTCTCCCTCTCTGTCTCTCAGGTGGGAGGAGCGTGTTGCACTGGGACGATGCTCGATGCTGCAGTCCCGTCCAAACCTCCAGGTCCACCTGCAGCAGCAGCAGCAGCAGCAGCCGGACCGCGGGCGCACCTGGAAGTCACTCTTACATGACACGTCGCTCGGATTAACACAACAATCCAAATGCATCTAATATGAGCGCAGACGCTGGGACACACAGCACCGGTGCCACATAAGGTAAGGTCTATTTTTTCCAGAAGAAGCCTCGAGATCATTTAAGTTAATTATGTTTTTGATCAAACATTCTGGTAATTTTGAGAATAAGGGCTTAGTTTTTTACTCTATGTCCGTGCGTAATGGGTATTTTGAGAGCATACGCATATGGCTCAGGTGCGCCAATTCTATTATATTCCCATAGACACTAATATTACAGTGATTTACCTTGCAGCGTGGTTTTCATTCTGATAACGTTATCATTTCACAGATGTTTGTCTTCGTCCCCATGCACCTTAGAGAATGTGTCATATCTGGGAAGCACCTTTCTCCATCCTCATTGTGATGCTGTTTTCGTCCCATTAACTTTAGAGTTACGTGCAGACACTGAACGCACCTTTTTATCGACTTTACTCGCTTTGTGTGTTGCAGGATAAAGAGGGTCTTTGCTGGGAATCACGATGCATCTCACAGCGGTGGTCTTAATTCTGGCCGTGACAGGCATCGCCAAAGGTAATCAGAGTTTTTTTTTTTTTTTTATCATTGCACCGACGAAGACATCTGAAAAACTAACTCTCCCTTTGAAGAGATTTACTCTCTGCCCGGAAGGAAACTATAACAGATGAATATTTCATTGCTCTGAGTTTTGGCTGTTTTTTGATTTTTGATTCCCGGTCTCTCTGTCTCTCTCACAGGTTGGGATTGCAGAGGGTGCAACGCAGAAAATGGGTTTTGTGAGAAGCCGGGGAAGTGCAGGTATGACTACAAAACCGCCTCAGATTCCTGTGTGGACGATGGAGCCTCTTTTCCATACATTGCTGGAGCTGTTAATGTCTGAGAAATGCAATAACAATCCAGCCAGCTGGATCCCCCTGCTTTTTCTGGATCTGTTTGGCCCTCCTATTGTGCAAAATGCCAAATCAGACATCTGTTTGAACAGTAAAAAGCATTGTTATCCTAACATACAGCTCAAATACTTCTGGTTACACATCAAGTGTTTTTGGTTACTGCTATGCACTCCTGAGCCAAAATGATTGGAAAAGAATTTAACCAATTACTGTTTAATGGAAGATAATGTTCAGTTTCACCTTTGCTGTGGAGGCAGCCACAGCAGGGACAGCCACACACCTGAGAAGATCTGTGTGTGGTGTATTAATAGGTTTGGATTGTTCCCTTTTCCTCTCCTTCAGGTGCAAACCGGGCTGGCAAGGAGACAAATGTGACCGGTGCCTGCCGTTCCCCGGCTGTCTGCACGGCACATGCAAGAGGGCATGGCAGTGCCTGTGTGAGGAGGGCTGGGTGGGCAGCCTGTGTGACCAAGGTGAGTGTCATTAAGCTCTCAGACGCACTCCTATCTGTGTCTGCCTCTAAACGCTCGCTGACAAAACCAGTGGCGAGGGTGAGTCACAGAGCCTCAGGAACAAAGACACACACACACACACACACACAACCAAATGAAGTCTGGGTAACACGGTTTCATTCTATTTTTAGATGGAGAAAGTTAGAGTGGAGGATGAAAAAAGGATGGAGGAATCTGGGACAATGAAAGCTGCAGCCACAAAATAATCCTCATTATAAAATGCCATCCCCTGCTTCCCAATTAAGGAAGACACATTTTAATAAACCTCAAATGGTTTGTGTTGTGGCAGAGAGAACGTAAATGTTAAAGCTTTCCAAAAGTCACATTTCTGTAGATGCCTCTATTTAAATGTAGCACTTGAGTAATAAGTCCTATAATATCTACAGTTAATATTATTGAATGGAAATGTTTTGCTGCCTCTCAATCAAAGGAGGACAGAAAGAAAGAGGAAGGTTTTTTTTGGCTTGTGGCTCAGATTCACCTACTTATCTTCCCTCTCTGTGCATCTCTTATTCTGTTGGAGCATATAAGCTGCTCGCCTGTGTAAATGTCGATGGTTATGTTCTCGGTTTTGCTTCTGGTGACAGTATGCTGGGGTGGGGGAGTGTGAGTGAGAAAGTGCAAACAAAGGAGGGGGAGGAAAAACAGGCAGAGAGACACAGAGTCACACATCAAGAGAGAGACAAGAAAGGTCCAAAAACAGCATGCTTCTTTTTTTTTCTTTAACAACAGATACGCGCCTGTGCTCATCCAGGCCTTGTGTCAGTAATGCCACCTGCATAGAGACGGGAGAGGGCGGATACCTGTGCATCTGTCCACACAGCTACGCTGGAGAAAACTGCCACCTGAAGAGAGGAGCGTGCCTGACAAACAGGTACCAGCATCTTTAATCTGCATTTATATTGTAAGCTAAGAAAATAAATCAGTGGCTTTACAGCCTAAATTCCTTTTTCATCATTAGGAGCAATAATCAATACATGGTACAATTTATGTCAGCTCTCTCTGTATCATCGGGGCAGCCAATCGAAACCACCCACACTGTGACTAGTGTGCTGGTTAGGGTCGGCAGTTAGAGGGAGAAATAATGGTTTGCACAAATGAGACAGTCTGTTGTGACTTGTTATAGGCAGTGGGTTGTTTGTGTATTTTTTAGCCAAAGACAAACACTGGCTTTGATACAGCTCCCCCACAAACACGCACATACTAAAAAAACATACTAAAAATGAACAACTGGCAAGTTTCCAGGGCTGCGAACGAAGCTTGAATGGAGCTTCGGCTCATTAATCATGGTCAGAAAGTCAACTTTCATTTTTACGACTGACGTCTCTATGAAATCCAATAAGGCAAAGAAGAACACGGTGTATGCTGTGAAGAACAGCAATAAAATCTACACCTACAATGTATATAAATCAGATCCAAGCACCTGCTGCAACTTGGAATTAACTTTAAGATATAATATGTAACAATTCTTCATCACAATGAGAGTGAGAGATGAGCCAAAATGTCGTCTGGACCTAAAACACATACAAAAACATTCGCTGTTTGTGATTTGTGGAGAAACCTGGAACTCGTTGGACTGTACGGTGAACAGAAGACGTTTGACTTTATGGCTCAACGGTCTAAACTGGAGGCCCCAAAATATTGTCCGTTACCCAGCATCATCTGATGATAATAATGGGCTCTAATAGAAGTAGCATATTAAAATAGCTGCAGTTACAAATCAACTTTGGCACTTATTAGGAGTCGTGATGTTGTCCACCTGGAAAATGAAAATCTAATATTCACTCTCCTACGAACTCCAGAGGGAAATCTCTTCCTCTTCAGTTGCTTAATGCTCCACTAATGCTCACCAGTGAGTTATTAACTGGTGTCCACTGAGCTGGTACTGAGTCTTAGTGACTTAATGTGTGCTGACAAAAGAGCGTTTAGAGGGAGTCGAAGCAGTAAAGTTGTAGCAAACTGTATGTTGGTACCTCCATTTTAAGTGGTTAGAATAGATATGTTTACTGTAGAAACCTACAATAAAATGTACAATACCTTCCTGCATGTTTAGGCCAATATTTTCTTTATACCAGTAAAACATACCGTAGCAAACGATGCTATAACAGAACGGGACATAACTGTGCTTACATCCCCCAAAACAAACACAAGATTTGTGCTAGGCTTACATTTTTTTGCTTTCACGCCGAGCACAGGAATCCTCTGATGTGGAAAGAATGAATTTCAGAAAATTCATTCCCCAGCTTCCTCTTGTCACAAATACAGCGGGAGCCGTGTTTCTTGTGCTCCTCATTGTTGACAAGCAGACACCTTTATATTGCAGCCAGTGCTGTGTACCCGGGCAGCATTGTAAGCTGCGTACCGGTTCAGAGGAAGCATCCTCTGAACGTCAAGATTTCAAAACTGAATCACTCAACAAGGCTGACACATTTTTAAACTCTCCTCTATAAAGTATATGACAAGAAAATCAAACGTCCTTTGTCGGGATTTGTAGGACACGATTGATGTGTGCTTCACATATCCCACAATCCACTGCCCCCTAGGCAGTAGTTTAATCATACATTCAGGTAGTCCTTGTGAATTTGCCTTCACGTGCTCATCACTTACTGACAAATATATCACATGAACAGAACCAATTATTGTAAAATGTCAGAGGAGGATGGAAACGATTGAAGGAATAAATAACACTGTTGATGTGTGTTAAGAGCCTGGATGTGTTACCAGCGTCAGAGATAAACTGAAGTCACCATTAACTGGTAATCATCATGAGCCATTTCTACACTGTGGGGTGGAATTGAAGGGTTGAAGCACATAATGTAAAACAATCTGTAATCAGGAGACCGCAATTTAATTTTTCCCAGGGAAACCACACCTGTCTGTTGGCATTTACCGCCATGTTTGACTTCATGAGATGATGGTGAAAACCTGAACGCACCAGTAGCTCTGTCCTCATCTGGAGGGCTGGGGCACAGGCTCAGTGAGGCCTTCAGGAACGTCTGAAAGGACCCACCTTCACGGGCCGCCTCCTTCAAAGTGTCTCGCTAGAATTGGCACACAGCTCGAGCATGAAAATACAGTTAATAAAAAAGAGATGTTTTTTAATACAAACTTATCCCTTTCAAATACCTATACCTGGAATTTGCACACATTAAACAGTGCATTTAAAATAATAACTTATTTAAAAAAGGCGTATGCTACTAACCCTGTATTGAAGGGATGATTGCTGTTATTGGTGTATAGCTCATTGATAGTGTTGTAAATGGAAACACTAGTGCCATCCCATGAATCTCAAGTCTTGCATACAGCAGAAACCACTATTTTACTTGTTGGACTCTCCGGCATGAAATATTGCAGAATCGTTGACATTCTAACGAGCTCTTGGGAACTGTACACTACTAGATATCACTTCTTTTTGCCACTCTCAAAACAGCTCTTGACAGTGGCTGCTGCTGGTCTGTGGCAAAGAATAAGTGACTTCCAGGAACAGAAAATTGCAGTTTTATCTGGATAAAACTAATATACTTTAAAGACATGGAATTGGATCGGTATACTCGCCAATGTCCGATATCCCCATGTCCGATGCTGGTATCAGTATTGAATGAAATTCAAAAAGGACCAATGAATCATCTGGATTTCTTTTTGCTGTCGGATTAGATTCAATATTGACTAAATGTCCACAACAAATCCCACCACTGGATTACAGACAGGGCTGCTCCATGAAGCGATCCTCCTTCTACCCATCAGATGAATATGAAAGACTCTGGAGACGCAGCGAGCTGACACAGCCCCTCCAGACACCGCACCCCCACCATGTTCGTTCTGTCAGGCAGCCTTGTTATTGACTTGAACGACACACCTAAAATTCAATAGCCTTCAGCTTAGTGTCAGTGAACTGACAGATCTCCTCTCTCACAGAAAAAAAATATGATCTTTTGAGTCTTATTATTTCAACGATGAGACGACTGGAGCTTCACTCGTACGCCAGTGGACTTGATCTACCCTAAATAAAATGCCTGCTCAAGGTTTTATAATCAGCTCCTCAATCAGCCAACAGAGACGTCTACAAAATATAATATCAGTCTTTAGACTTCTAATCAGACAGGAAGTGAAGAAGTTGAATAATTACATCAGCTACTATTAGAGACATTGATTGGTTTTATCAGTGCACTCACTCGCTTAGACGCATTGATCACCAGCTGCAGGTACAGAGGCAAAGATCAGAATAGTTGTATCATTATTATTATTCATTTTACCGGTAGAGATTTTGAATATGCAGAAAATGAGCTGTAGTGTTTTTCATTAGATCTGGGTGACGTGAAAACAATCAATACCAGAATAATGAATTGTTCTAAAGCTCAAACAGAGGATTCATTGATTGTTTGTTAGTAGTTAGTAATTTGTCAGGCACAACACTTTTCCAGTTTCAAATGGGCATTTACTTTTTATTTCTACATTTTTATCACGCATATCTTCATGGTCTCCTACTGTACTGAAGCTTTAGTGTTGTCCTTTAGTTTAAAATCCCTTTGGATAAAAGCATCCGCCCATTCAGAAAATGTGAAAGAATTAAGAATATAAGCTTAAAATACAATAATTAAGAATTGTACTCAACATTTACTCAATCTTATTAATGTTAAATTCAATTACTGTGACCCAGTGGAAGTTTGATAATATATGTATTATCTATCAAATATATGGTATAAGATATAAGACTGCAGACCATAGTATATAATGATGGATGGTGCTCTTGATTATTTGACGTGTATTTTAGTTTTTTAGATTGGCCCATGTCCCATCCACTAACATGGAGAAGACAGGGTCTATGACTATACTGCAGCCAGCCACCAGGTGGCTTATATATAGTCAATGCTGCAAACATGACGTACAACAGTCACGTGTAAAAACAGATGAAAGCTGAACGATTATTTCCATCATGGTCTTATTAGAGAAATAATAAACAAACATGTTTGGCATATGTTATTGGCACCTACTTCTTTACCATAATATAAAACCTGTCTCAGTCTAATGTTGCTGTAATGATCCTGTTTTGTAAAACAGCAGTGTACCGGCCTGAGTGTGAAACTTTACCCATAGCACTCAGGAAACTATCCAGGAACTGCAATATTTACAGAGCAGAAATATAAATATACTGACTTCTGATAAGTTGATAAGTTTTGGGGATCTGTGTAAGCAGACCGTGGCACCGCAATCAGTGTGATTGAACTTGGTCCCCGACAAATATTAATGTTGCACTATCTACTGTGGCAGGGCTGCCTTCCTGAGCATGAATCTAGTCCTGACAAATGAAGTGTGTGAGCCAAGGCCACCAGTGACCGCTGAAATCTAAAAATTAATCTGAATAATTAACAGGAGCTTTTTGTGCAATTACAGCCTGACCTGCCATATTTAACAACTCAATATTTCCTGAGCTTGTTTAGTAATCCATACATTTTGTCCTCAGTTTTTCCTAAATGACGGTAAGAGTCATCCCTACAAATCAAAACCACCATAGTTATATATTCATGATTCTCATGGAGGTCACACTATTGATCGTCATTATCGATTGGGCACATTAAAAAAAGATCACTTTAAAAAATAATGGCTTCAGGAAAACTCCCCTGGGGGACCCCACAAATCACAAATTAAGGACTTCCGTCCCTAACATCTTCTTTTTCAAATCTAACTGTAAAATAGGATCAAACCCATTTCATGGATGCTTTACGACCACAGTGTAAAATTCTCAGTTTTAAAGTTGTATTTAAAACTACTAAAACCCTGTTGTACATTCATATTGTGCTGCTCTGTCCTTCAGCTCTCCTTGTCAAAACGGAGCCACGTGTACAGACACCAGCGGTTCAGCAGCCTCCACTTCCTGTTTATGTCCCCCTGGATTTTCCGGAGACTTCTGCGAGATCAGCGTTGACAGCTGCCAGCCTAACCCCTGCCTTAATGGTGGCAACTGTACAAATCACGGCCTGGCCTTCACCTGTCTCTGTCCGCACGGCTTCACCGGCTTTACGTGTAACAACACCAGCAGCCTGTCGCCCTGCGCCGGCCAGCCCTGTGCCAACGGCAGCACATGTGTTGGTCAGCCTGACGGAACCTTCCGGTGTGTTTGCCAGAAACGGTTTACAGGTCCCACATGTTCCCTGCAGCACAGACCGAAAGCCAAGCCTAAGCCTAAGCCTGCCAGGCCTGCGGACCACAAGGCGTTCGCACTGACCCCGCAGCATTACTCCCTTCCTGCTCACGCCTTCCACAGGCTCCTCAGACCGCCTGAGAGAGACCTGCTTAAGATCACCCTGAAGGAGACCGTCCACTCCCCCGGTGTGCTCGTCACCCAGGGTCAGCTCATTTGCTTCGGCATACTGGCCCTGCTCACCTGCCTGGTCATCCTGGGTACCACAGGCATCGTGTTTTTTGGCCGCTGCGAGACGTGGCTGGCTAACGCCAAGTACAACCAGCTTGTTCGGCAGCAAAGGGAACACCTGCTGAGGGACAACGGCGGTAATCAGGAAGAGCCGGAGCACTCAGTGAACATCATCCTGCCGGAGAAGATTAGACTCACGAGCTTTGGGAGACACTACACATCCATTTGATTGAATTGTCTGTTCCCTGCTCCCTCTGGAAGGAGCTTAATATGAATGTGTTAAAATAACAACAAAGGAAATATGCTGTACAGTCGTGTTTGTAAGGTTAGAGATTCTGGACGACAGTGGAATATAACTGAATGTACAGGTAGAGTTGGAAGTAAACTGGATGACACTTCTTTCAGTATTTCAAATTAAACTAAGTAATGATACCAATGATTTTTCATTTGTTCACAAATGAAAGGTCAGATTTTATTACCATTTCTAGAGCTGCAATGATTGATCAGAGTAGACCTCCAGAAAATTAACTGGCAACTATTTTGATTATATATGAATAATTTCAGTCTTTTGTGAAAATGTGAAACATTTGCTGCTATGATGATGAAACTGAATGTCTTTTGGTATTGGACTTTAAAATACACCACGATAGGCTGTAGGATATTTGACTGAACTTATGTAATTTTTTCTGTTATTTCTGAGATAAAATCACAAGTTGAGAAAACCACAATCAATTTGAATAATTAAAATGTCCTGCAGTCCTAACAAATCTCCATACAACATACTGTGAATTTTCCATTTCATTAATACACATAGTGAGTTTGTAGATATGTGTAATAAAAATGTGTATTACTACATTCCACCAAAAACAGCTGGACTTTCAAATACTGAATGTAATAACTCACTAATAACAGTGTTGCTGTATTTATGTACCTGGAAGTCATTCCCCATATACTATTGAATTTGCTTTGTAGATGCATCACTTTAGATATTGGTTTTAAAGGGATATACGTAGATGTTAAAGACATGGATTATTTGTAGGACTGAGCAATATGGCCAAAATTATAAAATAATTTACTATTATTTATTTTAAGTTCAAAGAATTTTGAAGGTTTTGGTTTAAACTCTTTATGAGCAGAGAATGACCAACACTTTAAAACATTTTACAAATCTGAGGCAGATGAAGTATGTGTTATACCTCCTCATTGTGCTTGCACAAAGCAATATATCCATAAATATAGTGACCTTTTGTTATATTGCTATTGATGATATTGCAAGAATTGTTGATATCGTTTATTAGATATTTCACAGCTCCTGGAGAAATGCCACTTCCTGTCTTAATTAATCTGTTTGTATCCCTGCCATGAACGTCTTCACGCCTTCATCTCTTCATCAGCTCTAGTAAGATTTTTCCAACACTGTTTCTTACTTAGAGATTGAGAGTTTCACAGATAAACCACCATGCATCTGTTACCCAGTAAATATGTCATTAAACAAGTGTCACACTTTTCAAACTGTAAAATATTCAGTACTGTGATATGAGGATTTGTGATGCATATGTTCAGCTCACATTCAGCCTGCAAGCAGATACTGTAAATAATGTGGTGAGCTTTGTTTATCTTGTGCTGTTAACATCAGAGTTACATTTCAGGTTGTGTTTTTCATTGTGCTCATCAACCTGTGGACTGTGCATCAAAAGACGTAGGTCAAAAAAACATTTACAGGTGGCATTTCTACAGAGGGCGGAGACTGTGCAGAACCTTTTTGTATTTTTTCCAAGTCTGCGATTCTTGTTGTGCCAAATATTGTATGATGTTTATTCTACGTTTTTAATAAATATATATATAACAAAACTATTCCCTTTTGTGAAGGTGACTTTAGTCTTGTTTTTGATTGATATCAACATCTTAAAGAGCACCAGATTTAAACTGATCTCCTTCTGCTGCTGTCTCCACACAAAATACAAAATCTGATATTTGGTTCTGCTAACACATCTGAGGTTTACACATCCACTGTCCCCAAGTGGAAGATACAGATTCGGACAACAGTCTCTGTCTCCACCTTGTGGTGCGAGTTATCTGCGGTGCATCGACAGAACTGCAGCACACAAACATCTCTATGGAGAAAGACAGATGATATCTGTGGTGATGTCAGGTGGTTAGAACACACTACTGTTGAGCAGAACTGTGATGTGACGGCCCCTTTAACTTGTCTTGTCCTGTCGAGCGCAACAAAACCAAGAGAATGCTGAGGAGGATGTTAATCGAGTTTGGTTTGTACGCACCCACGCTGTCCTGAGAAGAAGCTCCATGAGGCAACGTCAGTGAGAACATCTGTGTGGGTGGATAACAGGAACACAGGGGCTTTAAAACATGAATATTTGTTTCCTCTGGCTGCTGTTGTAGGATAAATATGTACCACACTAAAGCACTAATGACTCATATCAGTCACTTTTTTGTTTTTGTGCAAATCGCCTATTGACCAGATTCAAATTTAGTGCTGTTGATTGAAATAACTACAGTTTTTGAGGTTTTATTTGTGTGTGCTTTAATCTGAAACCTTTACATTTAAAACACAGTTTGCCATAAACTGCATCTCACCGATGTTATTTAAAGCAGAAGCGAGTGAGTCAGCTCTTCTGCTTTCATGTCACTCTCCAAAGAAGCCAACAGAGAGCAGTGCTGCAGCAGGTAGGTTTCTGCCCGCTGTGCTTCAGGCTCGATTTAAAAAGTCTAGAAAATGCATGTCATCGCTCAGTGTGACCACGAGGTGTCATCCATCCAACAGAGGATGGAGGAAATGCTGTGGTGTGATGTGTCACTTCTGTGGAAACACTGGATTTTGAAGTTAATTGTGACTAATTGACTGTTTTCACACACAATTGCAGCAACTGTGGTTTCTAGAGGCTGTATTCAAATTCCAGATTATTATTTTCTACAAGTATCATGTGTTAAAAAAATATGATATTATAACGTATGAGAGGAACAGCTGAATTGAATTGATGTGATAACAATTTCCTCATTTCCAATTTTGCTGCTTTCCTTATGTACAACGATGCAAAAACTGTAACAGGGGATGAGGATCAGTTGCTGGGCCATTTCAGTTCAGCGTTCGAGTGACATTTTAGTGGGTTTTTTTGTTTTCTGCCACACTACATAAAACCATTTCTCACTCCAGACTGAACATTATTGGAAAACGTCTCTGGGACTCCTGCTGCGTTACTGCAAGTCCCTGACCTTCAAAAGCAGCCTTAAAAATCTCTGGTGGTCGAGGAGCTCGGCACAACAGGGATCAGTTACATAGGTAGAAGGAGTTACAATGTTAGACTGCGTATTAGTATTTAATCAGCATGGGTAGTGCATGTATTAGTCTTTTTCTAAATACTGTAACTGGGCATTAAAAGCTTCATTTCAGGGTTAAATCAGAACTTCAAATAAAGGTTTTTGAATAACTTTTGTCAGATGAACACCTACAGTTCTCTCAATTCCAGGAAAAAATGTCCATGGTTTTCAAAATGTCTTCTTATGTTTGTTTATACCAGTAAAAAGATGATTGTTTGCATAGTTTTTAAATTAACTAAATGAGGTTTCACTTTGTGCTGAGGCCCCAGGGTTCCCACCACTAGATATTCATTTGCGGAGTTATGGCCCTGAGGAGGGAAAGGGCCCTCACCTTCAAAGCTGACCAGAGAAGCTATAAAAAAATACACCTCAGCAGACCCACTGAGTTCCCTTCGAGTCATAAAACATAATCAGGAAAAAAAAAAGAGTGAAATCTCTCCCCGAAGCCTGAGACCCTTTAACCCTTAGTTCCTGTGCGCCTCACCACTGACGGATGAGACCTAATATCCATGGAAAATCACATATGGAAAGAATCCAGATCCAAAATGTTCCAGTCAGGGTTTGGTTTCAGGGGTGCACACTGGACAAACTGGAAGTTTCACAACATTTCACAGAGGCAGGTACCACTCGGTCAATCTGTCAGCTCCACACACAGCAAACACTCTGCGCTCGTGTGTTCAATATGTTCAATGTGTTCAATGTGTTCCAGATGAGCTCACTGTGAAACCCAGACAGCTCTGATGACAATGTACTTCAACACTCTCTTACTGGTTCCCTGTCTTTTTGCCTTGTGACCAATTGCATTCTGCAGATCTGTTGTTTATGATCAGGTCCATCAAAGCAATCTTCTTTCCTTTTTCCTGTTTATATGAATACAGTTAGAGCCTGGTCTGAGTATAACAGAGATAATTTAACTTTTAATATACAGAAAATTAGAGTTTATTTGAAGAAAATATCTCAAAATGCATATAGGTTTGTGGTGCATCATGAATTTCTGCTTTCTTTTCTTAAATGGACTCACTTAGGCCAGCAACTGACTTTGATCTACATTTAGATGGTTATCATTACACAAATAATCAGAACATAGTGAAAATAGTGAAACACAAGGTGAGGTGGTCTTACCTGAGCAACCAAAAGTGAAACATCAAAATGCAGTGTATCAATAAGAATAATGAGATTTGAGAAGATGAATCAGATGTTTGGTATTTTTGCTTGATAATTGACGACTGAAAGACGAATTGATAATCAAAATACTTTTTATGGACTGACTAGGTGATTAATGACATAGGTTTAAAGTCATAACTCTATATTGCTGTGCTATTAAACATTATTCAAACATACTGTTATGTTACCTCACCGAGCACCAATGTTGAGTGTGAACCTGCAGCAGAAGATAAGATTTCCTGACAATCAGGGATTGAACACTGGAAGGATGAGATCCTTTTCAACCCAAACCTGAGAAGCTTCTCCCTTCCAACATTACAGACATCACGTGACATCCAGTTTGCAGCAGACGAGGCTGTGATTCATACCCAGTGTTTTTCCTGGTAAAAGAAAAAACCCAACACTTTACTAACAGTGAGCATCCTTTGAGAGTCTTAAAACCCTGTGGTGTTGTGTCTACACTGATTTATGCCCCATTTGTGAATGTGCCTCCTTGGTGGGGGTAAACTGCACCAGACTCAACCATGAATAATGTCATATGTGGAGGCAGGGGGGGGGGGGCATGGGGAACCAAAACATCTGATGAGATGTTGGTCCACACACAGGTTGTGTCGGTGTTTGTGTCACATATCTGGTTTCTGAGGCGCTGCTTCCCTGCTGCGTCTTCACTGTGTCATGACTCCTATCTGAGGGTTGTGACTCATGGTATTGATTGTATGATTTCAGATATAATGAAGTCTCATGGGAGCGATCGGTCAGCATTAAATCACTGCAGTTACATGCATTCGTTTCCATGGGAATTCTGAACACAGTTAAACGCCTCCACTCGTAACACTTGGAGCGCTAAGCTGTGAAAACATTTGTGTGTTTAGACCCTTATAGGTGGATATATCACTCAGCATAATAGGATCAAGTGTGATTATCCTCACTTAATTGTAGGAGGTCAAAGGCTTAGGAAGGGGCTGTGGTGAACAAAGCGCGGCTTCTTCGCTGCAGCATTAACCGGAGACCTATAATCACCATCTATACAGTTTTAAAAGAGGCTGACCACTAATTAGATACGACACACTTCAGCCTGATTGCAGGGACCAAACCAGATTTTTTGTTTCAGACAAACCTCAGTGAATGAAAAAGACATTGAGTAGAATAAACTGTGTCACATGAAAAGACAATACTGTTGAAAAAAAAGATTTCTGTTGCTCTTCCCTTTGAAAATATGTTCATTTTGCCACAAATCAGCGTTAGAATATTGCTATAATTGAAGTTTTCCCGATACTTTTGATATGTTTGAAGGTTCAGTGAGGATTTCTCATTTTTAAAGTTATTTCATATGTTCTGCTTCATGCACAAATTTCAGATGCTGCATTTGAAAAGGGGATTTTTCTGCAGGAACCCAGGGGAGGTCAGTTGTCCTTTACTGTTCAGGAAATTAAACATTCACCCTGTTCCTCTGCTACATGTATGAGACTGTGAAATCTATACACTGCATTGCTCTTATTACAACAACAAAATAAAGAATACAGCAGCTCCCTTGCACGCAGACAATAAAAATGGGAATATTTTATATGAAAAATTAAAAAAAAAAAGCTGGAGTAGATCAAAGCTTTTTATTGTATGAAAAATATATCCATAAAACGTAACAATATGTACAAAACAGTTGAGAGCAGCAGCTTCACTGTGATCTCCAGTATGAAAAACATCAGTATCGGTTCTCTGGACTCAGCCCGTTTAAAAACCGAACTTCACAACAGTACTGAGGAGCACAGTGATGCGCAAGACTCACCATCCCGAGGATTCAATGAAGGCGCATTTACACACGGAGAAGAAATAAAAACAGAACTTTTGACACACAAATACTTTTGTTCACAGACAAACAAATTGTCTAAACAAAGCTTTTTTTCTGAATGGATCCTAACAGGATGAATGTGTCCAACACGACATGAAGGAGCCTACATTAGTACATCCGACAATGTTAAACAAATTACTTTGATCCAATCATATAAAAAATAAATACACTTAATAAACCATTAATGAAGAGACAGTCTATCTATCTGGAGTTATAATACTGAAAATTCTGCAGCATTGTTTCTTTCTGTTTTCTCACAGCATCTGTGGAATGATGGAAATGAATCTACACATGAATAACTAGATTACTGGATTTCTCCAGCCTCCCCCTGTATTGATCCAGCCAGTCTCTGAGCTCTGAGATCCGGTAGCCCTCAGGTCCTCTCCCGCCCTGGTAAACTATCTTTCCCTCCTGTAGAATATAAAGTCTGTCGAAATAAGCTC